TGTTTTTAGTGAAGCATGTGCCAATGGATGCCATAAAAGTCGCGAAGTGACGTCAACATCCTCCAAGGGAGCCCTTCTAAAAGAATAAACAAGGCCAGACTAGTATAGTCAGTTGGATAGAGTTGAGACTTCTGGGACTGCTAAACCTAGACGTACTGCAGAGGCCGCGATAAACCACAGGCGACGCACATATAAAGCAGGCAAAAAATGTGGGGAGACAACGTACACGGGGAAATGCGGAATGTTGTAGGTGATGCTGCTCAGAGTGTCCTCGCCGAAACATAGGTAGCCAAAGAATCCGAGTAGGCAGAACAATGAAATGACCATGACCATGGCCATGTTGAGGACACCGAAGGGCAACACAAACTTTTGTGGGTTGGTCATATGATTGCGAATTGGCAGTGTCTGAAAGACGATCGGAAGAAGGTGACAGGCAAGCGAATCATGGAGGATAGATTTTAAAAGAAGCATTTCGATCGTCAATTCCGACAATGTTCACCGTGGGTTCCACAGAGGGAGAGAGATTAGACAGATTCATAGATATATATACACAGGGTGTCCTAAAAAATGTGTACACATTTTTAATAATTGTAAAAAGGGTGTTTATTATAATTATAAAATTTAAAAATATTTACAAAACCATTTTATTGTTCTTCAGTGCATGTTCTCAAACTCACGTCCATTTTGGTCCAGCCATTGTTCAAAATACCACTCGCAATACTGTACTCTTCAGTTTAGATCATCGTCATTGAGAACATGCACAAATCTTGAGATATGCCTTTTTTCAATGACATCTTTGCATAATAGGAGAATTTGCAGTAAAGAATCATACTTGTAAATATTTTTCCATTCTTGAAATATAAAAATTATAATAAACGCCATTTTTACAATTTTTTTAAATGTGTATACATTTTTTGGGACACCCTGTTTATGTATATATTCACGTTTAACTTTTATGAACATGTCGTCAGAGGTGTCGCTATTCAGTTACTTGTCATGGCTTTTTTATGAAATTGTTGCGCAGATCTACATATTCGTGATCAGGCTCAGTGCACATTATTTCTTGGCCACGCAAAATCAAAAGTATAACATGGTAAGGCGCCTACGCACATTTACTCCAGTATGACATTTCTTACTTTAATTGTAAACATTTTAAGAAGGCATTTCTGTTATTGGTTAAGGAAGCCATGAGGCCATGGACATTGGAGTTAATGTAGCTAAATCTAGCTTTGGATAACCGAGGACAAGCTTGGTTCCCTTTATGGGAGTCTGCAGTCAAGAGCCTGAGTAGTAACCTCGCGGATTTAATCTAAAAATCTGAACAATATACTTAAAAGGAAGCGAAAATAGAGGGATTTTAAGTGAAGATTGCAGAGCAAGGGGATGCTATTAGAATTATCTAAGCACCTTCAAGCTATTCTTATTTTATTTTACGTGCAAAGAGGTGAGTGGAAGCAACAACGCCTTTTCGCCGAACAACAGGCAGTTCCCAGGTTTTTTAAATTCCTCTTTTTACTAGACAGAGGAATTATTTTTTTCCAATTCACAATTACTTCTACAAAATTCCTTCACTGCCTACCCTAGTTCATCATCCCCAAAGACCCCATATGACTACCGTTTCCGTAGGAAAAAATGCTGCAATACTTAAACAACCTTTGCCGAAACAAAAATCAAGAGGATAATATGAAGTATCCTAAGTGCTTAAAACAGCGTTAAATGAATGAAGGTGCTAAATAAAAAAGCTCACAAAACGGGTTTGAAATGGCGGAAAATATAAGACAGACAATACTCCTAAAGCTATATCTTAGGCGTCGATGCGCCAACTGTCAGTGGTCAAAAGGGATTCACGATTATATCTACATATTCGTCTAAAACCTAGTAGGTGTGCCTGGAAAATACTTTTCATAATACCTCTAGAATATAAAGGGCTTATAGAGCATTCTATTCCCTGGTGAAGCACGTTTCACTAGCACAGTAAACAATTTCGTTATATAACTTCAT